TATATATATATATATATATATATATATATATATATATATATATATATATATATATATATATATATATATATATATTCTATGCAAAAGGTATTGGTTTCAAGTGAATCCGTAATCAGTTCAATAAATATGCATATTTATACTAGCATCTGGGGGTGTGGGTGTGTGTGTGGGGGAGGGGGGGGGGGTAATTAAGAAAGTAACTCTTGTATGTCTAGTAAACTATTTAAAAATTGGGTAATAGTCTTGCATGATATTTTAACAGTATGAAGTAGTTGTAATAATTAAGTAGATTGTACAAAAGAAAAGTTGGTTATACTGGAAAATTATTTTCATGGTAGGGCAATCTTTGACAGCTATTTATATACTATACGGTAGGCTAATCAACCTATTCAGCAGCACAGCAGTAGTCTCCAATCAAATCCAAAAATTATTTCCATTATGCTGACTGTTCTGTTCCAAAAATTACATTTTTCCTGTGGCTTTAATTTTGTTTAATTAATTTATTTTGCAGTTTCTTGGACAAGGCAGCTATTAAAGAAGATGACAGTGAATTTTCTGGGACAACCATATTGAATAACTGGAATTCAGCAACTTTAACCGATGTTGAAGAAGTTAAATTGGTAATCAGAATGTTACCAACATGGGGCACGACCATTATGTTTTGGACTGTCTATGCTCAAATGACAACATTTTCTGTGTCACAAGCTACTACAATGAACCGTCACATTGGTAAATCCTTTGAAATTCCAGCTGCCTCGCTCACTGCTTTCTTTGTTGGAAGTGTTCTTTTGATGATTATTTTCTACGATCGAATCATGGTTCCAATTTGTCGTCGATTCTTGAACAATCCACATGGTTTCACCCCGTTGCAACGTATTGCTATAGGCCTAGTCAGTTCAATTTTGGCAATGATAGCTGCTGCTTTAACAGAAGTGAAAAGATTGAAGGTTGCAAAATTACACGGATTGGCCAATGATCCGAATGCTATAATTCCTATGAGTGTATTTTGGTTAGTCCCACAATTCTTGCTTGTTGGTGGAGGTGAAGCTTTCACTTACATTGGGCAACTTGATTTTTTCTTAAGGGAATGTCCTAAAGGGATGAAGACTATGAGTACAGGGTTGTTTATAAGCACAATTTCATTAGGATTTTTCTTTAGTTCAATTTTGGTCACAATTGTAGATAAGGTGACTGGAAAAACAAAGCCGTGGTTAGCTGATAATTTGAACAAAGGAAAGCTCTATGATTTCTACTGGCTTTTGGCAATATTGAGTGTTTTGAATTTTATGCTATTCTTGTTTTGTTCAAGACGATATGTGTACAAGGAGAAGAGGCTGGCTGATGTGGGCATTGAAATGGAGGACTCGGACCCAGTTTGCCATTAAAAAGCCAATTATTAGCAAAGCCACTTTGTTTTTGGTTTTTTTTCTTGGGATTTTATTTCAGACTTCTTTCAGTGGCAAATGTAACATAGTAACAGTGGGTTCAAAGAACCCATTGTCTTTGGGTCAGAATTACTATTTATATGTAGAAACTGTAAGTCAAAAATAATTACGTATGAATGAAATCTGAATCCACTGCTTCAAAGAAGCAGTAATTTAGTAGAGCATTTGACACGTATGGAATTTGGTTGCAAGCACTCATTTGAGATCATACTTTTTATTTTATTATTTTATTGTCTGATATTTATTTTATGGATTTTGACAAGCATATACCTAGTATTGGTGTTCTCGTCTGAGCCGTTGAAGTATTTCTAGATTTCGTTTCCTTCAACTTTTAGATTTAAATAAAGTATAATTAAAAAAACAATTTTCATTTCTTCAAGCTAAGGGTGGCTTTTTCCAATCATTTTCTTCAAAATAAGTTAATTCTTGGTTGTCACAGCTAAACGGATATCCTTTTTCTTGCAATTGCTTGTTTCCTAGTTCCTAGCTTTTATACACCAATCATTGAAGGGCTGTCGATCATTATCTGTTAATTATCTATCTGAATTCTCTTTCTCTTTGAAAATAAAAAAGAAATATTCTCGTTTATATTAAAATATTATGTACAATACCAAAAGGCATGTGAAGTTCCTTAAAGCTATCTCTCTTTGCAGTATGTATATATACTATAATATTGCTCCATTTGAGTAATTATTTTTTTTAAAAAAAAAAGTTCGTTCTTAAGACGATGTTTTTTGCTCTTTGGATCCACCTTGTCATTTTTTATCAGATTTATTATGCTCTTCGTTCTTGGACCAATGTGTTAGGTGTTTGTCCTGATTTTTTTACCATATTTAGTTTTTCTATCTCTTGAAGGAAAGGACAATATATTCACCTTGATTGAGTTTTCCTTTTTGTAGAAGGAAATTATAAATCTTCCATATTTGGCTAGTCCCTTTTCTTGTGGGAAAAGGTTTGGAGTTCTATATATTGAGGATCCTTACTTCACATTCAGTAGCATCCACAATGTAGCCATATGGGGCTTGAGAGTCGTGTTTAGGGGGAGAACTTTACGGGACAAGTGTTAGTGTGTCACTTGTGTTTGCCTCTTCGTGAGGTTGTTCTCTCGATATTTTGTACTCTTTTTTTATTATAGTGGATTGCTCATCTCCGTTGTGGACGTAGGTCAGTTGACCGAACCACGTTAAATGTTTGTGTCTCTTTTGGTGTTGGATTTATCGCCGTTCAAGATTTGCTTTGCTAGCTTCCACATGATATCTGACTTTTTTCGGTCCTAATACAATGTCCTTACTCCTAGTTCCAACTTAGAATTGATAGATAATTTTGGCTACCCTAGTAGAATACATATCGGCCATTGACGTTTTTTAACAATTTACTAACATAAAAAATAAAGATGATACCTTTGATGTTTTGGTCCACCCGGTGAATAATGGATTAGCCAGCTTACTTATTTACCCGTAAAATGATATTGTTGAATTTGTAACGTGGTTTACAAACACGTGAATTAAATTGATTCAAGAATGTAAAATAAACAAAAACAGAAATAGATTAATTAAGGAAACTTGAAGAAAAGACAAGCCTTATTGTGAAGTGAGTTTCTCCGGGAGCAAGAACAAGAACAAAGTATAGAGCAAAAAGAATATTAATAAAATAAGAGTCAACTTTTAGCCTTTTTTTTTGCGTTTAAATATTTTGTTTCTACAATGAGTAATTCCTATATTTATAGTTAAATTGTCACGACCCAAAATCCATCCGAATGAGTCGTGATGACACCTAGTCTTTAAAACTAGGTAAGCCTAACACATACTGAAATGATGACACGTTCTACTAACATCTATTAAACATGGACCAGAAGTTTCTAAATAAACCAATAGTCTCAACATGATACAATATTCCAAAATCGGTAGTACAAGTCATAATCCTTTTTAGGAGTAATTATACATAATGAATACTTCACCTTTCCGGAATAAAAGGAAACAATGAAAATAAGTACAATAGAAGGTGACTTCGGAGCCTGAAAACGCCCAGCAGGTGTATCTTGAAGTCTCCAGCCACACCAAGCATGTCTTAGCAGGGTTGTATCTTCAAATCCCTCAGCCATATCTGAGTAGACATAGAGAGAGAGAGAGAGAGAGAGAGAGAGAGAGAGAGAGAGAGAGAGAGAGAGAGAGAGAGAGAGAGAGAGAGAGAAAGAGAAGAAGTCAGCAACAGTGAAGAGATGGGATGAAATAAAAGGTGACTAGGAACACCCAAAAATCAATTCCAAGTTCCGACTCTGAACAATAAAATAATCCCTACTTCAAAAATATCACTTTAATTGGAAAAACTCTTTAACCCACAATAATCCATAACATATATATCTTTTGGGGTAAAAAAGGGGTGTGACAGATAGCTATTACGAGTTAAACGCGACTAATTTGGTCTGTGATTGGAGAAACGAAATTATTGACTACCTCAAACACGGGAAAGTGCCTGAAGATCGCAAGGCATCTCGGGCGCTATGCTAAGGTAGCGCGATATAGTTTCCAAGGAGGTCAACTTTACATAAGATCTTTCGAAGGCACGTTGGCCCGATATTTGGGAGCCTCTGAAGCTAACTATGTTATGCGAGAAGTCCACGAAGGGATCTACGAAAATCACTCGGGTGCAGATTCCTTGGTGCTGAAGTTAATTAGGGCAGAATACTACCGGCCCCGGATGGAGCAAGATGCCAAGGCTTATATTCAGAAATGTGATAAATGTCAGCGCTATGCACCGTTGGTACATCAAACGGCAGAACCGCTGCACTCGGTTTGTCACCATGGCCATTCATGAAGTGGGGAGTGGATATCGTTGGACCATTGCCACCAGCTCCCGGTACGGTAAGATTTCTTTTGATTTTAACTGACTATTTTTCTAAGTGGGTTGAAGCAAGTCCTTATTAGATTGGCGAATGAGAAGTAGTAGATTTCTTGTAGGAGAATATGATTTGCAAATTTGGGATACCAAAAGAGATAGCTTGTGACAACGGGCCACAATTTATATGTGTGAAGGTCACGAAGTTCCTTAAAAACTTAAAAATCAAAAGGATCACATCATCACCTTATCATCCAAGCGCAAATGGCCAAGAAGAAGCAACAAACAAGGTGATCATACAAAATCTCAAAAAGAGATTGGAAGCGGCTAAAGGTAAATGGCTCGAGGAGTTCTTGGGTGTACTATGGGCATACCGATCAATGGGCAAATCGAGTACGTGGGAGACTCCTTTCTCTCTTGTCTACGGGGCAGAAGCCTGATTCCGGTGGAAGTAGGGGAACCTACACTGAGGTATTCTCGGGCAAACGAAGAAGCAAACAATGAAGCAATGTTAGTCAATTCGGAGCTGCTCAATGAACGTAGGGACTTGGCGCATATAAGGATGGCAGCTCAAAAGTAGCTAATAGAGAGATATTACAAAACGAAGGACCAACTTCCAATATTTCAAAGTAGGAGACTTGATTTTGAGGAAAGTAACTCAAAATACTCGGGAGCTTAATACAGGGAAACTAGGTCCAACATGGGAAGGCCCCTACCAGGTTTCAGCTATCACCGGGAAATGATCATACGAGTTAAAGGATCAAGATGGAGAAAAGTTACCATGCAACTGGAACGTGGCACACCTCAAGAGATACTATTGCTGATGAACATCACTTGTACTGAAAGTATGTGCTGCACTCTTTTTTCCTTCGTCCAATTTTTGTCCCAATTGGATTTTTCTAGTAAGGTTTTTAGCGAGGCAGCAACGGAAAGCATACTATGAAGGAAGCTTCAGCAATAAGACCTTTTAATGACAAGGAACACAGGCAAAGAACCACTACGAAGCGGTTAGATAGTATTTTGCTCGATAGAAAAGTTCCTACTGGGAAGTAAAGTTTGCTGTCGAACAGAGATTACCCAACCGTTCACAAGTATAAGACACTGGGGGATTGTTAGATAATCTTTGGATCGATAGTATAAATTCCTAAGGGAAAGTGAAGTTTGTTATCGAACTGCATATTATCTAGCAATTTACTAGCGGAATCCTTGATGTGTAAAATTTCCAGTGTTCAAATTCGCGTTCTTTGCATTTGAATACTGGGGGGAGGGGGAATGATATGAGGATACGGCAACAACGGCTACCACTTCAAACGGAATATGAAATCCAGAAACATAATTGTATCATCAGGACTGGGGACTGCGCGACCAGCCTCATAGAAATAAGTTGTACAAGTTAGCCACAAGAAATGGTAACTTTGTTTTAGCACAATGAATGCTTATGTACTTTTGAAATGGAAGGAATAAAGTAAAGTCCTTTTGTTTCTACCTTATTTCTTGTCTGAATGATGAATTGATTTTATCATTTGAAAGTTAAACAAGTACTTCAAATGCTAGTGCCATAATGAACATGAGAAGTCCTCTTCAAGAGCACCGTAAACATAAGAGGGTGCTCTCTTATGAAAACCCTCACAATAAAAGGGTTGATTTTGGAAGAGCTTGTGGTCGAAATCCAAACACTTTCGGGGGAAAATACACCCAAAGCCTTGCATAATTAGACGCAAATAGTAAAACTTGTGCAAATACTTAAACGAAAAAAGACGCAAAGAGCAAACTTTCGCAAATGTTTAAACGAAAGTATGCAGAAAGGAAAACTTATATGATACTTGAACGAAAAAGTGTTTTTATTTACAATAAATGAGCCAAACAGCACAAGTACAAAAGTTTAAAAAGGAAAGCAAAAATTAAGCTACTGCATCTCCGGAACCCGGAGGAAGAGAAGCATCTACGCCCCCAAGAGAAGTGGGTGGATCCGCTGCCGGTTCAGCATCGTCATTTTGGCCTTCAGCATCATCGCGTTTCATTTCCTCTCCAGTTCCCGAGAACTCAGAACCAGAACCAGAAGAATCTGTAGCATCAGGACGGGCCGGAAGACCCCTTTTAGCAGCTAACTCTAGCTCACAGGCCTTAGAAATTTCGGCATCAAAGTCAATAACACCCGATTTAGCCTCTCTCAACGTTTTTCTCCTCATGTTGTGCATAGCATATGTTTTTTCAACAATGAAGGAAGCCGCTCGGCGCTGAGGTTATGCTTTGAGCTAGTCAACCTCAGCAGAGAGGTTGTCTCGCGCGAATCTCAGGGATCGGAGGCTGGCATCAAAATCACAGATAGTGGAGCTGTAA